ACAGTGGTCGGCAAACTCATTCATCAGTAGCCAAATATCAATAGTACAATGATTGAAATTGCTTTTTAGAGCCAAATTTTTTAAACTTAAACTTCTTCTAACGCCACTTCTTCAAAATAGATTCACCCAGGCCGGGGTATTTTGTGGAAGAGCCACACTCAAGGGGCCAAAGAGCCTCATGTGGCTCGTGAGCTGCGGTTTGCCGACCACGGCTCTAGGATATGGGACCCATCCAGAAGGACTCTTAGCAGCCGTCCAGCCCAAATCCTAGGCCACAGGGTTAAGTCTCACAGACATCAAGCGACAGGGTAGACCTTGGACTCAGCTTATGAATCCCATTTCTGTCTTTGCCTGTTCTGTTTTTATTTTTTAGTTATATTGGGAAAATATTTAGTGAAGTAAAATAGTGAAAATGAAACAGAGTAGAGAGCCTAGAAATAATTTATGACACAGGAGCCAAGAATGCACAGTGGGGAAAGGATGGTCTCATCAACAAGTGGCGTTTGGAAAATTGGACAGCCACATGCAGAAGAATGAAACTGGTCCCCAGTCTTATGCCATACACAAAAATCAACTTAAACTTTTTCCAGCTGATTACCATAAAGGAAAATATCAACATATAAGATTTTAGCATCATGATATGAATACCCTCGAACCCAGCATTTTATGCAAGATCTACATGAACATGAAATTTTGTTTTCCCCCAGTGCCTTTTCCTCTTAACAATAATCTTTTCACTCTTCTGAACTTTATATTTACCATTCCCTTGCCTTAGCTAATAAGGAAAAAAAAAAAAAAGCCTTGCTATAGTCTTTTAAAATACACACGTACACACGTGTGTGTTTATATCTAAATTCTAGTTCAGTATGTTTTGTTGAACTTTATAAAAGTGGCAGAATCCTAGGTGGTCCCCTGGGACCTGCTTCCTCCTCCCACCATCAGTCTATTTCTGGGGTCACTTGTGTTGAAGCATGGAACTTAGATCATCCATGTTTTCCTCATTCTCTTGTGCCATTTCCTGTTTGGACCCCTCATGATTTGGGATGACTCCCACATAAAGAGTTCCAGTTAACGCTAATTTGAACTTTTTACAGGCTGTCATTAAGTTTTCCCATGTTGCTTGCCTTATGGGAAGCTTTTAGTCATTTACTAATTTAATGAAAATTAGATATCCTTAACCTTAGAAATGTGTAGTGAAATATTGCCAATTAAGATTAATTGGGATTAATGCAAAATAGGAGTTAAACCGTTTTTGCAGTCGTATTTTCGTGCTTTCAGCTAGGTACAGAGGACTGTGTGGAAGGAAGCCGTTCTGAGCCCTGGCATGTGGGGCGAGGCTGCAGTCAGCATACTGAGATGGTGGTGTGAACGGGCAGTGTAAACGGGCGCTGTGGACATTAGGTTAAAGCAGTGTCTTTTCCTGCTGACCTTCTCTGGCCAAGTTACAGCTTTTCTTTTCCTAGGTAATGCACCGCCCACCTCCTAGTTTATCCCTTCTGAATCCCAGTGTGTTCTGGACTTAAGCTTCAGTGAAGCTAGGCCTACTTGTGTCTATGTTTCTATTTTAGTTCTCAGGAAGATTGTTAATATCCAAGTTCAGAATATTTCCAAAGACCAGAGGTTTTAGGGGTTGTAAATGGTCTGTGAATTAGAATTGTATGTCCAGTTTTCTGGGGCCTTAACTTTGATTTGAGTCAGGGAGACTTTAGTCTCCAAAACTGATTGTTTTAAACCATGGTTTCTCAAACTTGACTCTACTGACATATTGGGCCAGGTTGTTGGGTTCTTTCTTGTGCATTGTAGGGTATTTAGAAACATCCCTGGTCCCTACCCATGAGATGCCAGTAGCTTCCCCTCTCCCAGTGATGACAACCAAAATGGTCTTTAAACATTGCCACCTGTCAGTGAGGGCTTGTGGCAAGGGCAAAATCAGCACCAGTAAAGAAACACTAGTGTACACCTTTTTAAAAAGTTTTAGGTTCACAGCAAAATTGAGCAGAAGGTACAGAAGCTGCCCATATAAACCCTGTCCTTACACATGTGTAGCCTCCCCTGTGGGTTTGGACAAATCTATAATGACACATGTCCACCATTTATAGTGTCGCACAGAGTGGTTTCACTGCCCTGAAAACTGACTGCGTTCTGCCTGTTTACCCCCACTTCTCCGCCAACCCTTGGCAACCACTGATCTTTTTTACTGTCTGTTCCAGAATGTTATATGGTTGGAATACCACTTACTGTAGCCTTTTAAGATTGATATATTAATATTTCACTTAGTAATTTATATTTAAGTTTTTTTCATGGCTTGATAGCACATTGCTTTTTTCTTATTTTTGAATTTTACTTTCAATTACAGTTTGCATTCAATAGTATTTTGTGTTAATTTCAGGTGTACAGCATAATAGTTACACAATCAAATACTTTATAGAGTGTTCCCCCTGATATTCCTAGGACCCACCTGGCACTATATATATATACTGCAATATTATTGACAGTATGGTAGCTCATTTCTTTTTTGGGTACAGACCAAGGTGTGCTGTTGAATTGTAAGAATCTGTTAGTTTTGTAAGAAACCACCAAACTGTCTTTGAAAGTGGCTGTATCATTTGCATTCCCACCAGCAGGGAATGAGAGTCCCTGTCACTCCACAGTCTTGTCAGTATTTGATGTCAGCATTTCTTGTCAGCATTCTGGATTTTGGCTATGCTTACAAATTTTAGTGGTATCTCATTGTTAATTTACATTTCTACGATGACATATGTTGAGCATTATTTCATGTTTATTTGCCTGTATATCTTCTTTGGGAGGGCTTTGGCTCATTAGTTTATACTTGTTATCTAGCCTACTTGAATGATTTACGGTTTTCTATTCTTGCACGGCCAATGGGGCACACAACTATGGGTTTGAACATCTACCTCCAATTTAGAGCAACAAGAAAGGCTTCGGGGTTGGGTTGAGTGAAGTGAATGTTATAAAATATTTTTATTTTAAAACATTTAAGACATGTATTTGCATACATACAGAAACATACTGCTATGAATTAAACAGTTCACAGGTATTAACTAAATAATTACATGAACCCTATGAAGTGTACTAGTATGCTTTCTATTTTATGAATAGAGGCTTGTAGAGACTAACAACTCTGCCTAAGGCTATAAGTTAATGAATGGCAGAATTGAGAATGGAATATGTCTCACTAGTGTCAAATCAGCTGGTCTGTGTTCTCGACCTTAGAAATGGTGTTAAAATGTCTTCCCATGCCAGCGAGCCAGACGCATGTCACTGTGGCCTTGGCTAGCATAGAAGGCATGACACAAGTAGGAAATTCATGGCTGCTACAATGTTACATTAAGCAAAACAAGTGCTACAAAATTTTTGGTGTGTGTGTGTTTCTTTGCAGGTAGCCAGTTTGTTGTGGGTCCGAAAATAAATTGTCACTGATAACCATCTTGAGTAGGGGCTAAATCTTACTGACCCCCCTTTTTAAATAGCCTGCTGTATATGCCATATTAGTTACCTGGAAATGAAATTGTCTCCAGTTAATTTAATGTGTTATGTCTTTGGTGAATATAAAACAGATCCCTGTCCCTGAGCCTGTTTAAAGTTAATATATCCGAAGTGTAGATGGTCATAGTAAAAGGTTCTATTTCATTACAACCAAATGTGGCATTTCCAGGATTACTTTGGATATTTTATGAAGATTCCTTAGCTTGATTTAAGGCTTTAAAAAATCCTGAGATCTGCCGAAACCGATTTGACTCAGTGGTAGAGCGTCGGTCTGTGGACTGAAAGGTCCTGGGTTCGATTCCGGTCAAGGGCATGTACGTGGGTTGCAGGCACATCCCCAGTAGGGGGTGTGCAAGAGGCAGCTGATCCATGATTCTCTCTCATTGATGTTTCTAACTCTCTATTCCTCTCTCTTCCTCTCTGTAAAAAAATCAATAAAATATATATTTTTAAAAAAATCCCGAGATCTGCCTGACCAGAACAGAAGCAGGATACAGATCAGAGAGTGCTTCTGACCGGTAGTGTTGGGGGCTCCACCTGCCTTTTGTGTCCTCCTCAGAGTCTTTACCATTTTACTGGGCCCTCCTTTCTCGCCCGATTTCTTCCTGGTCCTCCTAAGGTCTGGCCTTCTGTGTCACAGCCCACTCTGCACTAAATTTACTTTGCACTTTACCAGTCTTGCCCCCACGTAATTGTCCCTTCTTCCTCACCATTCACTGCATATTTGTGGTGACTGGCACAGGGCGGTGGCTCTCAGTAAATATTTGCATCGTGAAATTAAATGAAGAGCGTTTTGTGAAGCACACGGGGCTGAAAGAACGTGCTCGGTAAACAAGAGTAATCTTGATTCTCCCAGGCCCCTGCAGCAGCAGTGACGCCAGGGTATTGCCTTGTGGTCCACTTGGCCAGCTAGCGTGAGCTCTTGGCTGTCAGTGGTTTGGTTCAGGTCTTTGTCTATTTTGCAAGAGGCTGGCACCATGGAAAATGTACCAAGCGTTAGCGAATGACGGAAGCACCTAGCCTTTGTGTGCATTTTGCTGCTTGTTCTTTGCCTGGCTGTCTTCCTGGCTTAGAGCTCATCAAGGAACCTGGGCTGGTGGTGCTACCTAATGTTACCTGTTTAAATCCAGGTTACAGCAAAGGATAAAGCTTAATCTGCCATTCGAGCATGCCGACTGCAGAACCCATCTGCATCTCCTGTGGTCTGCTGAGAAGCCAATGACACTGTGATGTGGGTAGAGCAGGGTCACTTTCTGAACTCTCTGGCCTGCCTCCCACTTCTTTGTCTTTTGGACGCCTCCACTTGAGACAAACACTGCTATCAAAGAGGGACTGGCAGTGTCACTCTAGGACACGGGGCCGAGGGCCCACTGCAGGCTGCTTGGTCTTAGCAAACCCTGAGCAAGCTGAAACTGCAAAAATGTTGTTAAAAGAGGGTTTTTGGTGTTTCTGTTGGCAAAACGACTTAGACACTTTCATTTCTTTTTTCACAGAGTGATCAGCAGCTGGACTGTGCCTTGGACTTAATGAGGCGCCTGCCTCCACAGCAAATTGAGAAAAACCTCAGTGACCTGATCGACCTGGTACGTTCCTTGTTCGTGTGGCCTCACTGGGGGCCGGACTCATAATTGGTGGCTTTTGAGTACCTTTTCTCACGCAGAATTCAAAACCCACAGGAAACCTCTCTCTCCAGCCAGACACCACCATGAGATGCCTCCAGACAGAGAAGATGGGTTTCATATGTTTGTCTTCATTTCAGCACCCTCCCCTGTGTTCATAAAGCCCACGACAAGCATTCTGAAGTTGATTTCAACCTGTCTCCTCCCCCACTGGCTTGTTTCCAGTTTCTAGAAGCTCACTGTTAGGCAGGGAGCAGAGGTCGCCACACACGCAGCGGGCAGTTTGCAGTGGGTGCTGTCAGGCTGTAGAAAGTAGTCTTCTATAGTGGAAGTTCTTGCGCCCAAGCAGCACGAAAATCTACCCCAGGGAATGCTTCGGTGGCTTCACTTCTATATAGTTTGAAATGGCATAAAACACAAAAGCAGTTTTTGAAGCGAGTTCACATCTATTTTTTAATATTTAATTTATTTTTGTTTTTTGAGATTCAAAATCATCGGTCTTAACATGATGCCTCAGATTAACTGGCACCATAATATTTTTTGAAATGCTCAAAAGTATTAAAAAAATATCTGAAAAGCCATGGGAAATATTGAAACAGGTAAAATAAAATAAAATCAGGCCCCTAGAGGCCAACTGAGTTATTGCAACATTTCGCCTGTGAGTGAGTTCTAGCCTTGGAAGCTGAGCCCTGAATCCCAGTCCTCTGTTCTTTTCCTGTGTCCCATGTCTTCTTGAATATAATTATGAGTTCCCAGTCCTGGTTCGTTGGTGAGGTTTGAAAAATTGTTCATATATTGTAATGATATATTTAATTTCATTGCATGAATTCCAGAATAGTTTTACTAGGAAAAAAACGTGAGTTCAGGAGATGCATGTCACTCACCAAACTCTTCACAGTGTTCTGGAAGGTCCAGAGTGAAGCTATTTTATGTTTATAGGGTCACAGACTCCCAGTTTAGAGGCAGCTGTCTGAGACAGAGTGGAGCCTATTGAAGATAGCACATGAACTTGCTATCTTTTGTGTGTAATAATTCAGGAAGTGGGAAGAAGGAGGTTTCTTGAGGTAAATGATCCAGACAAGAAAGCCAGCTATTCAGGTGCTTGTGATGGCGGTGAAGAGGAGAATGGAAAATATGATGGGTCCTGGCTGGCAAGTACATTCCTTAGATGAGTATTAAAGAAAGAAGGTTGAATGTGTTGCAGATATATCTTCTATAGGCTCAGAATCGGGGGTCCCAAACCAAGAGCCAGGGACGTGACATAAAACACTGAAGTGGACATCGTGTAGACAAGGGGTCTGGCTGGCAGGCTCCGTCTGAGAGCAGTGACCCCTCTACTTCAGGCACTTGGTGCCCTGTAGGAATATGATGTCTGTTGCTTATTTTCAGATTTTTCTGGAGGAGCCATGCATTTGGAGTTATATGTAATACTAGAGGCCCAGTGCACGAAATTTGTGCACGGGGGTGGGGTGTGCCCTTTAGTTCGGCCTGCACCCTTTCACAATCCAGGACCACTAGCTCTTAACTACTCCCCTGCCTACCTGACTGCCCCTAACCCCTCTGCCTGCCTGCCTGATCACCCCTAACCACTCTCCTGCCTGCCTGATCACCCCTAACCACTAGCCTACCTGTCTGATGCCCCTTACCACTCTTCTGCCTTCCTGATTGCTCCTAACTACTCTCCTGCCTGCCTGACTGCCCTTAACTGTTTGCCTGCCTGATGGCTCCTAATCACTCTGCCTGCCTGATTGCCCTTAACTGCCTCTGCCTCGGCCCCCACCTCTGTGGCTTTATCCAGAAGAATGTCCAGAATGACATCGGGAAGGTTGTTTGGCTATCGGGTCTAATTAGCATATTATGCTTTTATTATTATAGATAGCCTGGTTTTTAAACATTGGTCTGAACATTGGATTGGTTAGATCTGATTTTGTATAGAATTTGGGCATGTGCCTAGGAAATGTGAGTTTGGAGGGTGGGGTCAGAGAAAACACTCTTTGTTGGGAAATAATGAAATTTACGGTTGGAAAGGTAGAAGGTGTCCTTGAAAGTCAGGAGGAGGTTTTTAATTTGATGTGGTGCTAATTGTCACCACCAACCCCCTTCCCGAGCTTTGTAGCAACCCTTGTGCTGAGCAGTTTGCCTGCGTGTCTGTGTTTAATTCTCAACAATCCTAAAAGGCGGTATTACAAGATGTGGTTTAGAAGTGCTGTGTGTCTGCCTTTTTCTCAGTTGGAGGGTTTTGATGAATCATATGTGGAAGAGATGGGCAGAGGTTAAAGGTAAGATCAGATCCCTAATTTGGTCAGCTGCAGAGGTTTCTTTTTCTTTTAAACTCAGCCTGAAAGTGCGCTTAGCAGAGTTTTAGTTCAGTTTGCCAATATAGTTATGATTGTGTTTTAGAATAAACCAAACATAGAATGAATGATTAGCAACGTTTTCTCAGTAGACTCGTCTTGGTGTTTAACAGACTCTTTTATTCTTATGGCTACCGAAGGGTTTTACTGCAGCTGTGTGTTTTCTCTGTGATTCCCTCGCCACCCTTCATTTCAGAGAGGTGCACGTTGCTGCCTTTATGGAAATCTGGTCGGCTGGTTCCCTTGCTGCATGTGCCACGTGTACTTGGGCTCCCCAAGGAAATGGCAGCATTGGTGGTGAATGAAGGAGCCAGCTTTCACCTTTGCTACATACTGGGTGGGAGAGATCAGCCCTGAGGTTGAGTGTGCAGGAGGCGGCTTGAACCCATGTTGAAGTGCCACACTGTGTCTGTCCCTGATACATGATGTTGCATGCAGCATCTTGTAGATACTGTCAGAGTGCACTGCCTTTCCACATTTAACTTCGTGTTCAGTAGAATGGGGCTGGAAAGGGGCTGGAGGCAGGTGTCGGTTGTGGGAACGAGCTGGATACTTTTATTTATGTTATCATTTCCTTGACTCTCCATAATGTGTATATGACCACTTCATCTTTTTGGGGTGGTTTAGACTCCGAGAAAGAAGCCAGGGTGTGGTGTAGCTAAACAGTACCAGGAGTCCCGATTTCTCCTGCTGGGGTAACCATGCTGGGTACCTTTGGGTCTGATCACTTAACAACAGGTTAAATATGGTGCGTTTTCCTAATGTGTCAGTCTTATCTATTTGGGGAAAACTGTTAAATAATTTAATTCATTAGTAATCTAAAGTATTAAAAAAGATGTATTGTGGAGAATAATTTAAAATTCACATAATTAAAATGCTCAACTGTTGTGTGGCTCAGTGCTTAAGCCTCGACCTATGAACCAGGAGGTCATGGTTTGATTCCCGGTCAGGGCATATGCCCAGGTTGCTGGCTCCCGAGTGTGGGGCATGCATAAGGCAGCTGATCAGTGATTCTTTCTCATCATTGATGTTTTTATTTTTTATTTTATTTTATTGATTTTTACAGAGGAAGGGAGAGAGAGAAAGAGTTAGAAACATCAATGAGAGAGAAACATCAATCAGCTGCCTCCTGCACATCCCCTACTCGGGATGTGCCCACAACCAAGGTACATGCCCTTGACCGAAATCGAACCTGGGATCTTCAGTCCGCAGGCTGATGCTCTATCCGCTGAGCCAAACCGGTTTCGGCCATCATTGATGTTTTTATCTTTTCCTCTCCCTTCCTCTCTGAAATCAATAAAACTATATATTTTTAAATTTTCACATAATTAAAATAAAAACACCTAGAAACTTGAAAGACATTCCTTTCTCAGAGCCAGACCACTGAGGAGTAGCAGTTCACTTTTGCTGGAGAGGCACCTGTTGTCTGGAGGCCAGGCTTGGGCCCCATCTACCTACTAAGGCTGAACAAGAGGCCATAATAGATTCCCACCATCCAGCCAAGACCGGTTTGGCTCAATGGATAGATCGTCGGCTTGGGGACTGAAGGGTCCCGGGTTCGATTCCGGTCAAGGGCATGTACCTTGGTTGCGGGCATATCCCTGGTGGGGGTGTGCAAGAGGCAGCTGATTGATGACTCTCTCTCATCGATGTATCTAACTCTCTATCTCTCTCCCTTCCTCTCTGTACAAAATCAATAAAATATATTTAAAAAAAAACACAAAAAAAAACTTAGACTCTAAAAAAAAAAAAAAAGATTCCCACCATCCAGAATGGCCTGGGGAATCGGTATTCTCATTAATTTTTTTTAAATATGAAGTATGGTGAATGTTTAAATGGAAATGAAGCATGACTTTTCAGTGAAGTAGGATCTGGTAGAGCACGCCTCATTAAAACTGTATTGACATGCTTCAGAAGCCGCTTTTGATTAATGGTCTGCTTCAAGGTCCATGCTTTGCACTGAGGTCTATAGGAGCATCTGTGCTGGTTTTGTACTGGATCCTGTGACCAGTCCTAGAACTTACTTTTTTGAATGTTTTTCTTTAATCGTTGTTTTTCTTCTATTTTCCTGGGAATGACAGGTGTGTGTGTGTGTTTAACTGGATTTGCAGAATTTTTATTCTTCTAAGAGTTGGTCTGTGCTGAGTGTATTGCTGTGGCTCTGAGGTTCACTTGCAGTTTTAGTTTCTTCCCAAAGCTGTAATTTCAGAAAACGCACACTGTTATGGGTCTGTCTAGAAGCAATGTATCGGGCCTTTGTTTCATGTAATCTGGGATCAGTCAGATGTTTTTAAAGCCACTGATGCACCACTTGGTGCAAATTGCAATCATTCCTCCCATGCTCACCTGCCTAAACTAATGAAGGGGAGGTAGTTGTTTTCAAGAAAATCTCCAGTTTTAAGACTGACAAGAATGTTAGGATTTGCCAGCGTTCCCCATGAAGGGAATGGCCTCTCTCAGATGTCGGAGCCAGAGAACTGGAGGCAAATGTACCCAGTCCGCCAGTGGTCCGATTACAGAGCAGTATTAAAGAGAAATGTGGCGTGTGCTTGGCAGCGAGGCCGAGGCAGCCATTTATCATGCCAGATCAGCTTGCTTTTCTTCTTTTCT